GTAATAATTTTCGCAGCTATAGAAGGTATGTATTACACGCGCCGTTAAGTTGGACAGAATGAGGAACCATGATCCAATTACTTAAATATAAGAGAGTTTCGCGCAATTTTTAAATCACACTAGGAAAATGCACATATTTCGTTAAACATAAGAGGGCACGACATATTTTACCCAACGAAAATATTTGTACATTTTTGCATTAAGATAATTTCGTAATTTAAAGATGGGGAGGCCCATTGTCTATTCGAGGACTGATTGGTCCAATAACATCAGTTGACAAAGCCGATGAAATAATGACACAGCATAACCTTATACAGAAACATTTTGCGTTAAAACTCCTACTCGCTATTTAGACAATTTTACTCCGTTTATTTTCAATTATACCATTTTAGAGGGTGGTTTTTATTTTTTTTGAACTTTTAAATTTTGTAACTTCTGCTTTCAATTGTGCGGTGGTTTTATTATTTATTTTTCATTTTTTTAATTTCTAACCGGCACGATTTTCTAGTATCTGATAGTTATTATTATTATTCATCTTAGAGGAAAAAGTAGAATTTTATCTTAGAGGAAAAATTAGAATTTTATTTGAATTTTTACTTTGAATTAGAGGAAAACGCATGGCAAAAAAATTAGAGGATCCCAAAGTAAACAAAATTAGAGGAAAAAAAAATTAAATTTTATTTGAATTTTTACTTTGCATATTTTTTGAAATTTTTTTGTTTATTTATTTGTTTATCTTTGAGACAGTCATTGTGCAATTCCTATATTTCTGAAATACTCCCGCTTGAATCATGAGACGAAATATCGAATGGAGGAAGAAGCATGTGGTTACAATTCGTGTTGCTTTTTCGGAATCCACAATAAGAGGAGAACCTGAAATAGGTCGTCATGCCGCTTTCATATAAGAGGAAGAATTTCGATGGTGCACGGGACGATGTTGGCTTCATAGTGGAGAGCGCGGATGTTTTTATCTGTGAGCTGTTCGGCCAAATTGAGACTATCAGGTAGGTGCACGGGTTATGCGAATGAATTTTTATTTTTTATTTTTATTTTATTTTTCCACCATACTCTTCCTATGTGTATTTATTAATTTTTTGGAACATGGGTAATGAATGAGGAGATGATGTACTTGTTGGTGGAGCGTTGTATTTTTGCGACTATTTTTAATGATTTGATGAGGATAAAAAATCTAAGTTGGTTTTTTTGTGGTTAATTATCAATTATAATTTTGTGCAACTGCTTTTTGTGTTTTTTGTATTCATGATTGAAAGTTGATTTTTTTTATTATTATTAAACAAAAAGATGATCAGAGATTATTTTTTTTATTCACAGCAATTATGAATAATGATCTCTTCTTCTTCATT